TATAGCATTTGACTCTCTCTTCATTAAAAAAACTAAGCGATATGAGACTCTTTCAACAGGTATATTTTCAACCAATCCCAACAATCTCCACCTTGATTGAAAATGATACATAAGCTTTCATTGTCTTCACCAACAATCATACTCCACCATAAATAATATCAACATGTATATTTTCAACCAACCCCAACAATTTTCACTTTGATTGAAAATAATACATAAACTTCCATTGTCTTCACCGACAATCATACTCCACCATAAAAAGTATAGTCACTTGAAACTACACCACTTCAAAAAATTTCACACTGTCTTCACCGACAATCATACTCCACCATAAAGAGTATAGTCACTTGAAGCTACACCATTTCAAGAAATTTAACACTATCTTCACCGACAATCATAGTTTTAAAAACTATCATACTCTTTCATGAAAAATATATTTCACTTGAAGATAAACTACTTCAAGAATTTCACATTATCATCACCGACAATCATATACTTTATCATGAAAAATAAATTTTACTTGAAATTAAATCATTCCAAGAATTCCACATTGTTTTCACCGACAATCATAGTTTAAAAAACAATCATACTCCACCTAAAAAAGAGTATACTTTACTTGAAGCTAAATGACTTCAAGAATTTTCACATGTCGAAAATTAGGTTGAAACATTATGGTGCAACTTCCTTCTTGGCAAGAAGCTCTGACATAATCTTGCGCCTTGTGTAATCTTGATTGTATCAACACATTTTTGACTTGAACTTTTCACAAGTAAAAAAAAATCTTCCATTAATTTTCTCTAGTCCAAATTGCACAATAGAATTTTTGACTGCAGTTTAACAACTCTTTCACAACACTACCCTTCTCTTCTGATGTGAAAGATTAGACAAAACTGCAACCATAGAGCATACTAAAAACACTTATTCCCGGATCAAACCAAAAGCTCTGATACTAGTTGTTAGGAAAAAAACAAACAAAGTATAGAGAAAAAAGAGGAAAACAATCACAACACAAGAATATAACGTGGAAACTCCAAAACCAGAGAAAAAACAATGGCCGTTGTCAATAGATAACCAAAAAATAACACTGAAACTTGTTACAACACATAATATACCTTCAACTAACTCAGACCTCCAGTACACCACACCCTCCAAAAATATATTTAACTACATATCACATCACTCTAAAACAAGAGTATAAGAGAATAAAGAAAGTCAAATACAAAATTAAAGTGTTTTTTTACTGATACATCTTATAATGAAGAACTTGAATTTTACTTCAAAGAACTTATATCTTATACGACTCTTTCTTCATTCACAAAACTAAACAATATGAGATTTTTTCAACATGTATATTTTCAAGCAAGCTCAATATATGATAGTAATAGAAGCATCATACTAAATGTATATATAAAGTATTGTAATTAGATCGTACAAACTAAATAGCCAATTGTAATCTTACAAAATATTGATGAAAGTAGCACATAATAGAACGTGAGAATGGGTCCCTCACAAAATCCAACACAAAGTAGCCGTTGGGGACCAAAACTATTACCCTCATTATTCTCATCGGTGCTCACGCATTGTCTCTTCTCCCCCAAACCAACCCGTTACTATATTCATCACTCATCAAATCAATAATTCAATATTCAACACCATCACAACCATAACAACAACCACCCAATAAACTATATTTTCATCAAAAACAAAACAACCTAAAAACTAGCCGTTACTATAACAAAATCTGCAACCTTTGACCCAGTCCCATGTTGTTTTTTTCTCTCTCTCCCTAAAACCATAAACCCCACTTCACTTTCCTCATTCATTCATCACAAAGTTTTCATCTTTCTCCTTTTCACCCTCAAAGTTTTCATCTTTCTTCACTATCTGTCTTCTACTTCTTCACTCCTCATTCTAGTGAAAGCTTGTTTCTCTCATGGAGAACAATGCTAAAGATTTGATTTTTAGTACAAAAAATCAAAAGGGTAGTTTTAGTTTCACATTTTTAGCTTTTCTACTTTTTCTGTCTTCCACTATTGAACCTATTTTGGGAGATTTATGGGATGGTGTTGTTGTAACACAATCTGATTTTCAATCTCTACAAGCTATCAAAACTGAACTTATTGATTCCAAAGGTGTTCTAAAAACCTGGAATGACAGTGGTTTAGGTGCTTGTTCAGGTAACTGGGTTGGAATCAAGTGCTTAAAAGGTGAAGTTATTGCAATTCAGCTTCCTTGGAAAAGCTTATCCGGAAGAATCTCTGAGAAAATTGGTCAACTTCAATCTCTTAGAAAACTTAGTCTTCATGATAATCATCTTGCTGGTTCAATTCCTTTTTCTCTTGGTTTTCTTCCTAATCTTAGAGGTGTTTATCTCTTTAACAACAAGCTTTCAGGTTCTATTCCTCCTTCTATTGCTAATTGCCCAATGCTTCAAGCTTTTGATGTTAGTCATAATTCACTTATTGGTAGAATCCCTTTAGGTTTGACAAATTCCACTAGGATTTTTAGGGTTAATTTGAGTTATAACAAGCTTTCTGGTCCTATTCCTAGTGAAGTAGGTGATTTTTCAAGGCTTAGAGTTCTTGATTTCTCAAACAATGAAATCAATGGTAGTTTACCTTTGAGTTTCTCTAATTTATCTTCTCTTGTTTCATTGAATCTTGAAAACAATAATCTTGGTGGTGAAATTCCGGATTCTTTTATGAAACTTCGAAATCTTAGTTCATTCAATGTTTCTCACAATAATCTATCTGGCCATGTTCCATTGATTCTTTCCAAAAGATTCAATGCTAGTTCATTTGAAGGAAACTTTGGTCTATGTGGTTACATAAGTTCGAAACCGTGTCGTTCTTCACCACCGCCATCACCACCACCACCGCATAATCTTCCATCTCAATCACCGGAAGAATCTCCTTTGGAGAAACATCAGAGGAAATTGAGCACTAAGGACATAATCCTCATAGTAGCAGGTGTTCTTTTGTTGATTTTGCTATTACTGTGTTGCTTTTTGCTTTGTTGTTTGGTCAGGAAAAGAGCTTCTTCCAGTCGAAAGAGTGGTAAAGCTGCTAAAGCCGCTGCTTCTGCTAGGAGTCTGGAGAAAAGTGGTGGTGGAGAGGTTGCAGCAGGAGGTGAAGCTGGTGGGAAGCTTGTTCACTTTGATGGGCCGTTTGTGTTCACTGCTGATGATCTTTTGTGTGCCACGGCGGAGATAATGGGAAAAAGTGCTTATGGAACGGCTTATAAGGCGACATTGGAAGATGGTAATCAGGTTGCGGTGAAGAGGTTGAGGGAGAAGACTACTAAAGGGCATAAGGAGTTTGAAGGTGAGGTTGCTTTGCTTGGAAAAATTAGGCATCCAAATTTGTTGGCTCTTCGAGCTTACTATCTTGGACCTAAAGGAGAGAAGCTTCTTGTGTTTGATTACATGAGTAGAGGAAGCCTAGCATCTTTTCTTCATGGTAAGCATTGAGTAGTTCTTATATTCGAGTTTTCGTGTCGACATAATCACATTGTTTATGGTATGGACTAATGGATCAAGATTGGAAGGTTCATGCTCCGACTTTACCAAAGTTGAAATATGAACTATATGATCTTGATTCATGTTCCGACTTTACCAAAGTTGAAATATGAACTATCTGATCTTGATTCATGTTCCGACTTTACCAGAGTTGGAATATGAACTATCTGATCTTGATTCATGTTCCGACTTTATTGAAGCTGGAATATGAAGTTACTGATCTTGATTCAATGGTCTAGATTGTGCTATTCTCCTACTGCGGAGAATTGCACAATCTTATTAAATGGTTTTGCATAATTGCATGATTTTCTAACCGCTGAGAATTCGAACGATAGAATGCATTGTGAATCTTAGTAGTCAATATATATTTTATCTCTTAATTTATATGGCAATGCTTCTGATATTGATATTTCCAAACATAAACTTGCAGCTCGCGGGCCGGAAATCATCGTCGAATGGCCAACAAGGATGAAAATAGCAATCGGAATCACCAACGGTCTATCTTGCCTCCACAACCAAGAAAACATAGTACATGGAAATCTCACCTCAAGCAACATACTATTAGACGAGCAAACAAATCCTCACATAACCGATTTCGGTCTTTCAAGACTAATGACAACATCAGCCAACACCAACATCATTGCCACAGCAGGCAGCCTCGGATACAACGCACCCGAGCTTTCAAAGACGAAGAAACCTACCACGAAAACCGATGTTTACAGCCTCGGCGTTATCCTTTTGGAGCTTTTAACTGGAAAACCGCCCGGGGAACCAACCAATGGCATGGACTTACCTCAATGGGTTGCTTCCATAGTTAAAGAAGAATGGACTAATGAAGTTTTTGATTTGGAACTCATGAGGGACGCACCAACCATTGGAGATGAACTTCTTAATACATTGAAATTGGCTTTGCATTGTGTTGATCCTTCACCTTCTGCTAGACCTGAAGTTAAGCAAGTTTTGCAACAGTTAGAAGAGATTAAGCCAGAACTGGTTGAAGTTGAAGTTGATGAAGAAGGAGCTAAAGTTCAGACAAATGAATAAAAGGAATGAGATTTTGAGTTACTTGAATTAGTGAAGAAAAGGATTATATTATATTATTGTATACATATATATATTAGATTCTTTATTTTATTTGTTTATTGAGTTTATATATGTATATAGGGTGTGAGAATTTTGTTTCAAACATCAAGTATTCTTTTTCAACTAGATGAATAATGAATTGAATGTATTTCAATTGCTATTTATATACTAAGATGCTATTCTTTTCATTTTCTTGTGCATTGATCTTCTCATGCAGAAAATGCATAAATTTATGGTAAATCCCCAAATTCTATTATAGTTCAAAATTGCTCGACTTGAAAAAAAAAATTAGTTTACAAATAAAATTGAGACTAGGACCCGATCTTGTTTTACTTCTTGCACTCGTTCTTGCACCAATATTCACTCCCACTCTCTCTTTCTCTCTCCACCGTCCTCCGCCATGGACGACCTACCGCCATTACAAAAAATCGCTATCTCCGGTTCAACCCTAGCCTCTCTAATCCACCGCTTCTCCACCACCACCTCCACTTCCTCAATCGATGGCCTCCTCTTCGGCCACGTCACCTTCGTAACCCCTCTCAATCTCTCCGACGACTCCTCCGAGGCTTCCCAAACCCTCCTCGCAACCGTAACCGGTTTCCTTACCTCCTCTTCCTTCCACGACGCCTCCGGCAAAATCAACACCTCCTCCCTCCGTCGTCTCATCCCTAATTCCACTTCCCTCCTCGGTTGGTTCTCTGGTCGCCGCCGTACTCCCCTCCGTCCCTCACTCCGCGAATTCTCAATCACTTCTTCTCTCTCCCAGTTATCTGCATCCATCAAACCCTCTCCCAATTCAAATCCCTTCCCTTCTTCAACCTCTTCTTCTTCCCTCAATTTCAACCCGTGCTTGTTCTTTCTCCTCGCTTCCCCAATTTCTGATCAAGCCTCTCACATTCACACTCACGATTACCGCGCTTTCCAGTTCCTAACTGGAACGAATTCATTCAACCCGGTTTCACTCGATATCATCAACATTGGTCCCGCATTTCGCGACCATTATGGATCATTTACCCCTAATTCTCCATTTCCTGCTCTTGATTGTCAGCTCAGCTACTCTCCGATGGTTCGCGACGATGATGAAGAGCGGCTGAGTAAGATGAGACAGGCTTCTAAAGATCAGAGGGAGTTGGATGCTTGTGTGGAGGGGCTTGAGGTTGGTAAGTTGAGTAAATTGATGGGTTCTGAGGCTAAGAATTATACACAGAGTTTGGAAGATTTGTACCTTAAAATGCTTGTCAAGATTGAGAATTTGACTACCTTGGTTGAGCAGAGTTCGGCTAGGGTTCTAGAGCAGGTTAGTCAGCTTTGTTTCTTTCAATTCAGTGCTAAATAAATATATAGATAATGGTGATCTTGGTCAGAATGTAGTGGTTAAAATGTAGGCATAGTTACTCTGAACTACTCAGACATGACATTGACACTGATTTAGACATTGGCAATGATTTAATTTAAGAAATAGAAAGTGATTAAGTTAAACAACATGTGTCAATGTCATGCTAGTGTCAGACACCTGGCACGCCTTGATTTTGAAGTGCCAGTCCATGCTACATAGAATCGTTAAGAAGAGTAGAATGAAGTGCTATTGGTTTTATTTAGGAATATATGGTTGGTCTAGTGGAAACATTCTTCGTCCGCAAGTGAAGAGTACGTTTATGAATATGTGTATAGGGATACTCTTTAGTGAGAGGTCCCTAGTTTGATCCCTTGCGAAAATTAAATTTTTTGATGTAGTCATGTGTATGTGTTTATGGAACAAGTATACTCCGTTTGATCTGAACATGATTGAAGGATACATGATACTTGTGGATTTCATCTAAAAATGAATTTAGGAATTTGTTATGTTGTTATCAACAGAAGGAGAGGGAAGAGAAGCACGCCTTTGCATGACTATTTGCTTATCCCAAACAATATGATGAAAAGTTTCAAATATTTGCTTTGGAGACTATCTGATAAATTGATGTTATAGCTTCTTTATTTTTTCATTAGATGGAAGTACTACAATTGGAATTTTTGTTTCTAGTGAAAAAATGAAATAGAAATCATTTGTGAATTTAAGCATATGTCATTTGCATGCATCATGTGCATAGTATTATGTCATTATGTGTAGTAAGACAATATACAATTCATTGGATAACTGGTAGAAGTCCTTACAAAACCAAAGTGAGTTATTTTTGGAATAGGGTAGAATTTTTAAATTCCCAAAGACAGGCACTTTCCCACGATAACTGGCAGAAATTGTATTTCCCATAGGCTGAATATAAACTTGACATAACAGATAACCAATCTCTGAGTGAATATATGAACTCAAAATAACAAACCCTACAATTGACGCGTGGTCATTATGAAAGAATTGATGATAAAGTCATAGGAGTTACTAAAAGCAAGATAGAAACGTTCTATGGAGTATTGAAGCACAACGCAAAGCAATTAAGTTCTTTTTAAAAATTTGGGATTTTGAGATAATACTCAAACACAATGTTCTTTAAAGTATGGAACTCTCAACTCATGATAAGCTTCGAACTGTCCACATTTCCCTTGTATATTCCAACTCCTTATTAAGTAATGGAACTCTCAAGTCTCAACTCTTGGTGGCTTCAAATGAGGACCATAATTACTAATTGCTTCAACCATCAATTTGAGGCTTTTCGACTTTGCAATGTTAAAAGGAATTCCATTCCTGTAAAAACATTGAGCTATACTTGCAAGTTCTTGCTATTGCTACCTATGCTCGACTGTTTCTTTCTTTTTTCCAAAGTTTTGTTGACTGCTTCTTTCCTTTCCCCAAAGTTGGCTCTATTTTTTGGTAGGACTTTGCATCCAATGGGCCTTTTGTACTCTTCTTGGAAGCCGACAAAGTGGCCTCATCATTCTGCCTTTTTCCACTTTGAATCCTACTTATTTGTTGCAAGTTGCAACTCTTCTGCCTGATCATCTTCTTCAGCCTCATCATAGGCTTCCTTCAAAATAAATCTAAGATCCTATTCCTCTGGTGTTTGGGTGCAAGGACCTACATCTCCTTTTCTTCCTATTTGATTAGAAATTCTTCTACCTGAACTAGAACATGTAAAGTCAGTAAAAAACAAAAAACTAAACTGAAATGAAATAGAGACTGGGTAGGAAAAAACAGAAACAGAGGGAGGGAGAGCTGAAGAATGGAAGAAACAGAACCAAGACACCATACTAAAGTGAAAGGGAACCAAACCAGAGCTGCGAACGATACAGTGTGGCTTGGGACGGTGGGGGCTACGAACGGCGTAGGACCTGGGAACAGTGGTTTGCTGCACAGCTGAAGCAGAGAACGGCCTTTGCAGTAATGGAAGAAAATAGAAAGGATTCATGATTGGGGTTTGTTTTTTTTTAGCGGAAACCTTGAAAATAGTCTGTAACGGGTCTAATTTTAAAGGTACTTTAGGTTTTCATTACCTCTTATTCTTCCATCTCTGCGTAGCACTATGACCAACGCCATGCGATCAGCTATCACCCTCCGGGAAGGAGACCGTGACAGTCGCTGTGCCCATCTGTGACGCCACGTTGCGTGGATGGGCTGACACCCTCCTCGCTGATCTGTCACGATATGGGTGCTATTGGCCGCATTTAACAACATAGCTCTAAGCCCCAAAAGACAATCTTGGGGTAATGGGAAACTTAATATTCTGTAAACCCCAAGATGACAAACTTGAAGCTACTGTACCCTTTAGTAGAACTACAATGGGGAAATAATGTCTATTTGAATTTTTTTGCTAGAACATTTAGCTCTAAACCCCAAAAGACAATTTATTAGTCTAAGGATAATGAGAAACTTGTTACTCTGTAAACCTCAAGATGACAAACTTGGAGCTACTGTACCCTTTCGTAGAACTACAATGCTGAAATCACATTCATTAAAACTTGTTTACTAGAACATTTCTAAGTTAGCTCCAATATGGTAGCTGTGTACTATCCTGGCTGAGTACAAATTGGCTCAAGTTATGCAATAGTAAATGTGGTCTCAAGGTTGAAAAACTCAACAATCTTCCTGAGCTCTGGGGACTTAGTTCTGTTTTGGCCAAGTTGACCGCACATGTCCTAAGAAGGACAAGGTTGATTTGTAAGTTGTAACCTACACTCTTAGCCCTCGAGCATGAATGCAAGGCTAATTCATTTGTAGCTCTTCTTTGATGAGCAATAAACCCGAAATCTAAATGGCGACTACAGAAGCCCGTAAAAGGAAGCCTGAGGAAATTGCATAGGCATCTTCAGTCATATCTTAATTTTGTAGAATGAGATCAGGAATATTCATACTAGCTTAGCACATCCAATAGGGCTTTGTTCTGAACAGTTGTTTTCCTCACTATATTGGGAACTGATAAATAATGATATGGATTTTTATAGGGCTGATAGAAAATGATTGTACTTATGCTGTTACTAACCTGAGTTGATTTCTCTTTTATAAATTATGAACAGGAAACTCATAATAAGAAGTTGAGACAAAAAATTATGAGATCGGCTGAATAACTATCTTCAATAGTGGAAATTACTTCTGTTCTTTCAGGTAACTTACATCTTTTTGATCTTGTGTTTAATTTTGGTTTTATCAATCTTCAAAAGATAAATAATTTGCCCCTAAAGAAGACAAGTTATGTTGTTTACTTGGTTTATCTCCATGCGAGGCATACTTTTGCTGCTGTAGATTGTAAACAATTCTGCAGTTCAATTTTTTTATGGCGAGATCTTTCTGATACACCTCTTAAACTTGAAGGAAAGGTTTCGATTTGGATTCATCTGTCTCTAAAGTTGGTTATTATTTGAAACTGATTATGGATAGCAATCATAGCATTGATTTAAAACAATTTTTGTTCCACAAGACCACATAAGTAGTATCTATTAAGTTATAAAGATGGATCCTTACCATGTCGGAGTTAGACTTAGGTCATGACTCATTAATGCTTGGCATCTCTGAGGTGTGATCTTTGAAATTAAAAATTATTTAATATTATCGAGCCTACAGTTAGAAAGTGATTTCACATAAAGTATGTCAATAGTGATATTCTTGAACAATTTGACCTTATTTTGACAATACCTAAAACTGTGTAAAAGCATTTTGTGAATAAATCTGTTCTCATATGATTGGTCAGATTATTACCTCTGTCAATTAGCATCACCAAACTCACTGTCATGATTCTACAAAACAAATGTTCAATCATAGATGTTAACAAGCTTATTTTGTGTGGCACAGAACAGATATGATATGGCAATTGACAACGTTCAGAATTGTGCACCTGACTTGGATCATCAAGATTCTTTTGAAATCACTTGAAACTTGAGTTTTCCTTATTGAACTTTTGGGTGAGCTTGTACTACATGTTGTGCAGATGTTGTTATTGTATTTTACTTTTTGGCTACTCATCAAGTTGAAGAAGGTATTGATTGTGCAGCTTTGTTGAATGATTCGGTCCTTCACACTATACTATATGCCAACTGTGTTCTATAGTTTGTAAATTTTGCTTCTTTTAGCCCTTCATTGAAAATATATTCTGCTGTAGTTGTTAAGGTGCTATATTGTTTAAGCAAGCTCACTTACTTTATTAGCTAATAATTGACTAAATACATCGAATTATATAGAATTTTGTCTAAGTTAAACCACTCTGTTAAAACCTTTTGAAGAAAATACAAGGGAATGATTATTGGGCAGAATATATTTTACATATAGAATGAAAATTTGGTAAAATTTCTAACTCATTTGTTATACATTAAAAGAGCAATTTTATATACTATTGAAAGATATTTCAACACAACTAAATGACATTTTTTAAAATAATTTTATGAGAAACCTTTCAAGGTAGTTGTTTGTTTTAGATATTTTATAAAATTTTATTATCTAAAGAAATGTTATTGTAAGAAGAAGAAAAATTAAGTGCATATTTAAATTTTTGGCTTAAATGTATTTCTCGTAACTTATTTTTATCAAAATAAGGTTTTAATTCCTCTATTAAAAAGGATGTAATGGACAAAAAGGAGTAATTTATTGTTCATACCAACACAAAATCAATGAATAAGGTTAAGCATACACCATATGAATGAATTAGTATACAAATATCTTAAATAGTATGTAAAAGGAGGAGTTAAACCACTATGTTAAAACCTTGTGAAGAAAATACAGGGAATGATAATTGGTATGTTGTGTGTTATTTTAGTGCCTTATGCTACTGGTATGTTGTGGTCTATGATTTATTAAATGCTAATATGGTATTCATACCAACACAAAATCAATGAATAAGGTTAAAAATACACCATATGATGAATTAGTATACGCATCTCTTAATTAGTATATAAATGGAGAAGTTTAAGAAATGAATTAGTATGCGAATGATAAAAATTGAGAATTTATTGTAGCATATTTAATACTTCTAACGCTTATGTTGAATTTCATAAATGTCTTTTGTTTTTGAAGAATATATCTTTAGACGCACCTAAACGTAGGTGAAAGTTGAAATATTTCAGAAGTAGATCTCCGAAATATTTTGGAGCATAAGTCGCGTCAGATTCGTCTCTTTTCTCATTTCAAAATTTGTTCAAACACAATTTTAACACTCTTCTTAATACAACTCTACACTAAATCAAATTTCATCAAACAATGGACAAAGGAAATCAAAGGAACATCAAAGATCATCTCTAATATTAGAAACAACATCTGAATCCTCAATTTCAAATAATTTTTTTTGAATTTTCGATAAATGTTCGAGTTTTAGTTTAAACGAGTAGGAATCAATGATTAGCATTAGAAATGTGTAAAAATCACATGTAGCATAGTTTAGAGTTAGTGTATAACTTGTTTGTTGGCTGAAAATGGCGATCAGATCATGTTTTTTTCAACTTGCATGAGGTACATTCGCCATTGACGCGACCTCTGTGTTGCAGAACATTTCGGAGATGCATCTCCGGAATTATTCATATTTTCATATACTTTAGGAAGTTTCAGAGATGTATCTCTGGAATTGTTCAACGTTTCAGTTTAATGGTGTTTTTGGAGATGAATCTCTGAAAATTTTCAACGTTATAATTTTATGGTGTTTCTGGAGATGCATCTCAGGAATTTCCTGCGGTATGTTTTATTTAAAAAAAAAATTGGCTTGTGTGTGTTGTTTGCGTGCACTAATGATATGCCTTACCTTACCTTACCTTACAAACATTATGGCTGACAAAGTTGATAGACTGAGACATGGCAGGTTGCTCAGCACGCATCCGTTCGACGAGAGTAGAGCCAACAGGTTCCAGAGGCTCCGTGTACATCTTGTCAAGAAGGCGTATCCACATTTATGGCAGCGTCTACTTCTAGGACTCGTGTTTCACCCATGTCCACTCCACACTCTTCTTCTTCCTTCCGTAGGAGACGAGATTCACCATCTGACGTGTCACTTCACTCATCCTCCTGCAGGCGTCGGGATTCATCAATGCCACCTCATACGGAAGATGTTGCTGTTTCATACCCACTTCCCACTGATGATGTTGTTAATTCAGTGCCACCTCCAAATGGTGAGGCTGCTAAGGATGCGGAGGTAGAGGGTTTTGGAGGAGGTCCATTTGATTTGTCCTTACTTCCTCTGTATCCAAACCATACTGTCAAACATATCTGGAATTGAGATGTGGCATTAGTTGAATTTTTTAATTTATTTTTTACGTTGATTTTAATTATTGACATTGATTATTTAAGACAAATTTCAAGAGCATGATCCCTAGAAGTTTCTTAATCATGGGAGGAAGATTGTTGCATTGTCTCAGTAGAAGGGGGATTGGTTTTAGACTGTTTTTTTCCTTATCTGGTCTAAAGGACCTATGCATGACCGGTTACACTCTAGTCAACCATGAGAGGATGATCAAAGACGAGGCAATCAAGATGATGGTAGAGCATCTAGAGTCTGATCTAGGGAAGGCCATGAAGGAGGTGGATAGAACCAGGAATGCCCATGCTAGATTTGAGTTCCTGAAGAACATATACGATGATGAAACCTTAGGGCACATCAGGCTCATGGTGATGATGAGCAGGTGGCGGTACACAAGACTCGTGCTTTGAGGGCATACTTTCTTTTTTAGGTTGGCACTTGTCGCTACTCGAAAAATGCATCGTGCAACGATGGGAAGGCGAAAAAGAAAGGACAGAAGAGTCGCCACCGAACTTTATTTATCCCATGAGGGGAAGGGAAAATATCGAGAAAACCTTAAGAAAGAAATGGATAAGATGGTCTCGCGACCAAGAACGGGTTCGGAAGCCGGTTATGCGAGGGGAAGGTATTAGCACCCCTCGCATCCATCGTACTCGATGGGAACCTTTTGTTTGTCGATGTGAATTTATTTGCTTAAACATTATGCTATAAAAGTGTTTCACAGGGTAAAAGATAAGGGTTAGAAACAGGAAAGAGAGGTAACGGGGAAGAAGAGAGGAAGAACAGACTCGGTAGGACTTCGCAGTCCTATGCCTACGTATTCTCAATAGACGTGAGAAAGTCAGAGTCGACGTAGTTCGGGGAACTACAGATATAGGGGGGAATGTGCTCGGCAAGGATTGTGGCCCTTGTGCCTACGTATCTTTACTTGAGAAAGTAAAGAATCAGAGCAGCCGTAGTTCGGCCTACGGTGTGTTGATATTTTTTATGGATGATGCTATCGTGTGCATTCTAGCAGTTTAGGTGTTTTGCTGCTCGCATGTGAGGAGACTTATGCGTTACCTGTTTGCGGTAGAACGGACGTAACATATCCTTTTGAAAGATTGATTAGTTTTCGCCACGCGGGGCAAGAAGTCACGTTTGATTGATTGGATTGTTTTTTTTTAGGGGCGAGATATGTCCTCAGATAGTAACCCCTACGGGTAGTACCCAATTCTTTATCTCAAAGTTTTTGTTGTAAAAATGTGTGGCGAACATAGAGTCTTCGTATTGAAAGACGAGTATCAAGACCACACACACTACAGTGAGTATCCTGACACTCGGAGAGGAAGAAGACTACACTCAATCCTCTCTCTTTAGTTCAATACAAAGAGAACTTCATTCTCTTATTAAAGTGTTTTTGGTTTTGAATGGTAAGTGCTTTTTGCGACAGGGAACCCTACGGTAAACGTCAGCACTCGGGATAGGAGAAGGCCTACGCCTAACCACTCCACGACCATTCAAGTTTTTGTTACGAAAATGATTTGAAAATGCACTCGGTACGGGACCGAGGTTTTAGGTGAGAAAGGTTACGGAATAAAGTTAAAGAGGGAGAGGTGGTGTATGGAGGCGCGTCTTCGTATTGAAAGACGAATATCAAGACCACCCTCACTACAGTGGGCATCCCAACATTCGAAAAGGAAGAGGTCTACACCCAATCCTCTCTCTTTAATTCAATACAAAGAGAAATGATATTATTGTTGAAAGTATACTCAGTATGAGACCGAGGTTTTATGAGGAAACGTTGGAAGCGTCTTTGCGTTGACAGACGAGCATCGAGACCACCCTCACTACAGTGGGCATCCCTACGCTCGA